AAGCATCGATTATGAAAAAAGTTATTTTTAAAACATAAGTTACAAAATTCTCACCCTAACCGGACCCTTGCCCCGAAAAGGTGGGGGGAGAGGGGGTCGACGTTAAGTCCAGATTAATTTCAACTACCTTCAAATTTAGGACTAAAGTTTGTATGTATTGGACTCCCCATTATGACGTTCGAGTATATGACAATATCACATCATACAATAGCAACATCGCAAACACCGCGATTTTACAATTACAATGAATACTCTGTATGGCATCTAAAAAAACCCCCCACTTAAACTTGCATCGCGCTTCCGCAAACGACAATTATAGCGGAGGATAACAAATTTAACATTCAATACAACAAAAACTTATCACATACTATTGTCATATACAAACAACAAATAGTGTCATATACTCGACCTATACATGGTAAATACAAATGATGAAATATTTACAAATGAATGTTTAAAAATTTAATATTTACAAATAATCAGTATTTACATAAACACTTACAAATAATTAATAATTACAAATAAATATTTACAAATAATCGTTGTTTACATAACTCTTTACAAATAAAATATTTACAAAAATTTCACAATATATTTAGAATATTTACAAATAAACAAATAAATGAAAATGAAAGCATGCAAAATGTGGTCACCGACCACGTCTCAATTTTATTTCCTTTCCCTAATAAGTTGAAAGAAAAAAAGAATTACTTAAATGTGGTCATTCGACCACGTCTCATTTATTGTGTCCCTATATTAAATAAAGAAGTTGAAAAAAAGGTGAAAATAGGTAAGTCTTCAAACAAGCCTGAGCGCTTCCATGCGCTGCGTTGCTGCTGTTGAATCCATAAAATTATTTTAGTAATCCATAAATATTTCATTGTCGTTATCGTTTAATTGTTTTATTATTTAATAATTCACTTTGTATAAATAAATAATTCCAATAATAATATATAATAATCCATTTTTCGCCCTCTTGAAGGGCTGAAGAGAACCCCGCGCCATTGAAAAAAAATCCTGAAAATGAGACAATATATGCTTACTGTTTAAAATGATCCAGTAATAGATGAAAATAGATACGATATCATACATAAATACATCAATATAAAGTACAACAAAAACTGAAATAAATTTCGATTGATGAATGATAATTAATTGTAAACACTCACCATTTATGAAATTTGTCGATGACTCCAAGCCCTATCAACGGGCATTTTCCTCGCGTGTTGTCCATCTTAAAATAGATCCATTAATCATAAAATACCAGTCGTCATTAGTTGTGACAAATCAACACGCCATAACATAACAATCATCAAACAATATCGAGTCATTAACGCCACTAAGCATCCAACAAAACCATGCTGATTAATTACTATCCTACGCCTTCTGATCAGCATCTGATTAGGTACTTTTAATCCTAACTGTATTTTAATTTAATTTTTAATGAATATAACTTTTAATTCAACCATTCAAACGAAATACCCCCACGCAAAAAGCTTCTCGCGGCACAACGCCGCACCACGCGTACAAACCTAAAACTGATGACGAATAGAATTCGCACGAGAATATGAACACTTAAATGAAAACAAGCTTACATATACTATATGTATGATCACGCTATACAACTGACCCGCTCCGTACTGTGTGTCGCGTAGACATGCACACATACATACACACGTGCGCAGAGCGTTTGAGAAAGTTCATCGAAATTTGCTCGAAATTCAAATCACAAATGTACCAAAGGAGTTGATAAAAGAGACATTGAGCGATCGATATATTTAAACGGAATGAATTTGAGATTGGGACAGATGTTTTAGTGACATTTTCAAGCATGGATATTGACAAGTGTAAAAAAACGTGGATAAAACATACTTATGAATCTTCAAGCTTAACTAAAGATCTAACCAGGATCACTCGAATTCCTATAAGAATGATCTAATAAAATCAACAAAATATTAACGCGAATATGATTTGACTAGCTAAGTGGTCATCATAATCAAGAACACACAATGAAAAATCCCCAAGAAGGAGACATCACAGTCATAAGCACGAAAGCGTAGCAAATGCGCAAAATTTTAAGATCATCTGGTGAAGGGCAAAGCTATCGGGATGGTTCAGCCACTGCCGTCTAGATGGAACTGTATTTTGACCCAAAACATAAGAAAAGCTGAACAAATTAAAGTGAAATATGCCAAAACTGAGACCGACAACGTATTCACACGTATTAACGCGTCAGAGGTATATGAACGATGAGATTACGGTAGTCTTGAATATGGCAACCCGTACAGTATACAGAAAATAGCTAAATCTCCTCCACTAAGCGAAATCTCTTGGCAAAATAAATATTTTTCTGAATGCAGACATTCCGTTGGATCGAATGATACAAAAATTCATATGTTGCTTGTACGGTAGGCTTGAATACGGTAAAGCATTGAGAAAATAGCTATATCTCTTCATCTACGCATAATTGGTCGGCAAAACATATGATATTCTGAAAGTAGAGCTTCTGAGCAATCAAATGGTGCAAAGAAATTAATGTGTTACCAGGAAAAGCTGAGAGTACTGGTACCTTGAAAATCGTAACGCTATATCAGTGTATACAAATGATCTATGCTGATACAATGTGCATTGAATGAGTGCCTCTGAGATAGTTGAGACGGCTTTAGAAAAATAGCTATATCTGCTCAAGAAAGCGGAATTATTCGGCCAAAAATATGTTTTTCTGAATGTAGAGATTCCGCTGGATTGATTGGTGAACAAATATTCACATGTTACTGGGCAAACTTGAGGATACGGTATGCTCGAAGATGGCAAACCGTGTATCACTGAGAATTTGGTCGAGCAATTCCGCTTTCTTGAGCAGATATAGCTACACTCTGGGCGTTACAATCTTCAGGGTACCGGTACCCTCAGGTTTGCCCGGTACCATATGAATCTCTTTGCAGCATTCGATTGCTGAGAATCTCTACTTTCAGAAAAACATATACTTTGTCGAGCGATTTTGCTTTCTTGAGCAGATATAGTTATTTTCTCGATGATATACGGTTTGGCATCTTCGAGCATACCGTATCCTCAAGTTTGCGCAGTAACATATGAATATCTGAACACCAATCGATTCAGCGAAATCTCTAGATTCAGAAAAACATATATTTTGTACAGCGATTCCGTTTTCTTGAGGAGATATAGCTGTATTTCTAAAGCTATCTCAAAGCTATAAGGGTTACCATCTTCAATCCAACTGTACTCTTAGGTTTTTGGAAATGAAAATTAGTATTCAATTCATTCTATATTTGACGGAAACGATTGCTGAAAATATTTGGCAAAATCTTCGTAAGACACAGTCATTACGAGAAATATTATGTCGCCACTCGGTGTATAATGTTGACTAAATTGAATTTCTTACATTAAAACGTTGTATTCCGAATGATATCATTTTAATGTCTCAGAAAATACGTGTTATATCAAATTAATGATAATGATAGCATCTTATCATTCCTTCAGTTGTCAACACGAGCGGTTTTACTTAGGGTGACGCTGTAACTTCACAAGAAACTAGCTCACACTCTGTACGTTGTTATCAATCATCTATCATTCATCGTGACATCATTCGCTGTAAAACACGAAGGATCTGCCCTCAGACTGAGTTATTTTTCCCTGCAAGGAAAACTAATGGACGTTGTTTATCAGTTAACTGGACATATATGAGTGTTCATTGGTAACTGAGTTTCGCAGAGGGCCAATCATTATGCAGTGATCATTTTACGTTGATATGATGTGAAATGCGTTCTCTGCATCCATATTGCTCCATCAAACAGTGCATAATTCCATTATTTGCTCATCTTGATTATCAGACTTATTCGTTTTGTGATCGTATCATCTCGTCTGAGAACTTAACATTAACTAACGCAACTCCATGAAGTTATCAACAATTCGTTGTAACGGAACCAAAATTTCATCGAATTCGATTTCATCAATTCACCATTATGTCAGCATCAAATTCATTTTTACGTGATTGTCGCAAGATCATGATTTCATTCCAGTCGAATAATCGCATCGTCCTGTGGAACTGCTAATTTCTCCTTTTCAAATCTGATGGTGAAAAATGATTTCAGATGCCGAAAGTGGTCATAGCAGGTGCAGGTCTTGTTGGAGCATTGAACGCGTGCTACTTTGCTAAACGAGGATGGCAAGTGGAAGTTTACGAAGCTCGTAAGGGTAAGTCGAGACGGACGTTACTAGCTGATTCTGTTCTCGGTATCCAGAATGACTGGAACAGCACCTCAGAATTACTCATTCACTTTACTTGGTCTGACAAAGTAAAACATTCAATGCCATTCCACATTTCTCTCTTACACAATTGAGCATTATACGTTGTTCCATTTGTATCGTTTAACACGTGCGATCGCCTGATTTCGTGATATCTGCGTTGTTTCGTGACTAACCGCTGTGAAGCAAAGTTATTCTTTTACTACCCAAATAAGAAATATGGNTCTACCTGTCGAATAGGATTTTATTGGGAGAGAACTATTTGCCTTTCGAAAGAGATTCGATATATAACTGAGACTCAAATTCAGCAATTTCAACTGATTTTGAGTAAATGATTGTGATGTATAACAGTAGAATAAATGAAAAATTAATAGACTATTGCATCAAAAAATAAATTAAGATATACGCACGATGGAACACGTACAAGGGCGTAGCATTAATCTAGCACTGTCTGAGCGAGGAAAATCCGCGTTATCCGCAGTTGGTCTCAGTGATTATATCGTCAATGAAGGTGAGCACTTTTTTGCGATTTTGATTTGGTGGTACACTTCTTGAAGCGATCTATTGTCGCGATCGAACTGCATTATTCCAGTTACTGTTCCATTATACTTCAACAGTAAAACTTTTTTGAGCTAATGAAATGATAGCTGATTAGCATCTAAATCAAGCACAATATAATCAGGTGTGAAGATGGATGCTCGATTGGTGCATGGCATTGATGGTGTTTCAACGGATCGACAACCATACGGACATCCCGGTCAGGTACTTGCTACTCAAACTAATTGCATAAAGAGTATGAATCGCCAACTCAAACGAATCTTGATCGTTCTCAACAGTCAAAATTCTGTTGTTCATCATGCTCATTTTCTGTTCGGCTGTGGCATTGAAATCGACAAAAATCTGCTGGAATTTGGAAGCCATTTGAATAACTTTTATTCAAAAATTTATCATGATATGATACACAGTTGATAGTTGAGAATACTTTCAGCATATTGTTTCAATAAATCGACGCCATCTGAATGAAGTAATGATCAGTCAGGCCGAGAAATATGAAGAAGTGAATTTCTTCTTTGAACATAAAGTGCTCAAAGTTGACTTGGACTCGAAACAGCTTATTTTGAAACGGTAAAATTCATTGACTCATCTTCATTGAGCACATCCTCCGATCATTTGAGTGACAAAGTAATGACAGAAGTGACCATGATTGACGATAAGTGCAACTGTAATAATTGTGTTGTGCGGTCGTATTTTGATACTTTTACGTTGTTGAATAGTGCTGTTCAATGTCGTGTTTTGATAACAGTTAATGTAACAGGTGAAATTCTAATCACGAAAGATACGTTCCAAAAACAGGCTAACAGAACGATGTATATTCCGTTTAACAAATCTCTTCTGCCACCTTAAACGAACATCCAAAACATTCCGGATTTAGGCAGTGTTATTTGGAATTTTGATAAATTTGGCCAATTTCAGAATGGAAGATGGTGAAGAGATCTGTGTGCGAGCAGATTTGATCTGCGCTTGTGACGGCGCTTATTCGGCCATTAGACGCGCACTTTCGACTCAACCTTGTTTTGATTACTCACAAGAGTACATTGAGCATGGTTACATTGAGCTCAACATTCTACCAAAAAATGATCAGGTTTTATTTACAAATTGTGCAAACATTATTGTATCAAGGCTGTTACAAAGTTAAATTTCGTTAATCCCATGAAATCCAATCGTTGAAAAGTTTTCGAAAATCCATTCTTCATTTTTCTATCACTAAGAAATTTTCGTATTTAGTGATGAAACCATGATGATCTCTCAATCCGTTACAGTTTTGCGCTTTGTACATGCGAAATTTTCGAGCTCTTGCGAATTTCCCACTAAACGATCAATTCTCACGTTTTTTTGTAGAATATTTTTTAGTGTGCTTTTTGATAATTCCGTTGCATATTTTGATCAAAAAAACACTCTCGAAAGCACTACCGTATTGTTTCTTTTCAAACAATTTCAGTTTGCACTCGAGCCGAACGTCTTTCACTTGTGGCCTCGGGGTAATTTCTGCTTGATCGCTTTGGCAAATATCGACAAAACTTTTACGGTCACTATTTTTGCTCCATTCCAAATATTCGAGCAGCACATGAGCGATGATGAAAGTATTGTCGATTTCTTCACGAAAAACTTTCCAGATGCAACTGAACTTATCGGAACGTATGTTTGCTGAAGCATTTTTCACCCATTCATATAATAAAACCAAACTTTCGCAGTATTCCTGACCAATTCGATTTTAATCTATATCATACTGAATCGATCTCGTTATGAAATCGGTATAAACTTGTGAGTGCTTCAATCTTGAAATATCTTTAAGTGAATCATTGCTGGAGACATTTCATCGTGTGAAACCGTTGCCGCTTGTTTCGATCAAATGTAAACCACATAATTTCGGTGATTGTGTACTGTTGATGGGTGACGCTGCACACGCGATGGTACCATTTTATGGACAAGGCATGAATGCTGTTCGTTTTGGACAATTTTTAACCAAATTTTGTTTTTTTGTTTCTTCAATCACTTTCTCATATCTTNGTAATTACAAAAGTGTTTCTTCGAAAATTTGCCATAGACAGTAAAGAGTTGGAGAATGCTTTCACACAATTCGAAGTGTTCTTTGATATTGCGTGCAATTTGTGTTACTCCCTTGATGAAGAGTATAATTCGAAAGAGTGCTTGAATCCACCCAAACACAACAAATTTTGAAGGGATTCGAGGATTGTCTGGTGCTTAGCGAAGTTCTCGACCAAATCGGCGATAAAGATATCGGTAAGTGAGCGATTTCAGCACAACACTCATTTCTGAGTGATCATTTCCAGATGTTACAGAAAAGTGATAGCAATGATACTTAAAATAGTGATAAAGACGACGAAAGCGATAATGTCTTAAGACTGCTGATAAGAATATGATAACATTGCTGATAACACGAATGCTCTTGATTATAATTGTTATTGGGTTTTCAGCTGGTGTTTTGAAACATTATTCAGCAAAACGAGTGAAAGATGCGCATGCGATAAACGATCTTGCAATGTACAATTATTGTGAGGTAAGTTCATACACAGTGTACGCCAGTGGTCGAATAAAATTTGGAAGAGCGAGCGATCATTATGCAGTAGTCATATCATCTTGCTTAAATCCGATGTGCTAAGCCACATCATATCGCGTCGTCTTCAGCTCTTCGATCATCATTATCATTTATTCGTTCATTATTATTGCACCATAATCGACCGCACTTATTATACTATGAACTCATTATGATTCATATTCTCATTCTGGACATAACAAACAAACTCGTGTCCATATTCCGGGATAAGGGAGATTGTAACTGAAAACATCCAATAACTACATTATCGTTAAAGTAATCTTTAGTACTTAGTAAGTTTTTCTTTGAAACGATTATTTCCAGTTGCGCGATCTCGTCAATCATGCATCGTTCAAACTGCGCAGAAAATTCGACTTATTTCTCAACCGAATTTTTCCACGTATTTGGATTCCACTCTATGGGATGGTGACATTCTCGAGAATCCGATATCACGAAGTTATTGAACGCAAGAAGCGGCAAGATCGGGTAGGTGTTAAAGATTTTGCGAATTTTAATTTTTTGCACTGATTCAGAAATTCAACAAAAAAATCCAAGAGGCTATAAGCATATCATCCTTATTCTTTCCAAATTTTCAGGCATCAATTCATTTTGAATGCTCTTTTTTCATAATTCCATGCTTTCAGATTATCGAACTGGTTGAGAAAACGTTAACTGTTATGTCGTTGACAACAGTTGCTATGCTTTTTGCGAGAAGATATCGACTATCCGTATGAAACAACGAATATACACTTTTTGTGTTCGATAAATCGTAGATTACTGTAGTCGAATCATTGAAATAATTTAATTCGACAATTAATTCAAACGAAGTTTAATCACTAAATCATTGATGAATTCGATAACAACAACAGTAAATTATTTCATCGTTCAATGCTCTCAACAACATCACGTTACAGATCACCATAATGCACTATCGTATTACTTTACCTCATCGAACATTTTATTTTAAAAACCAATTTAATTTTCGGCATAGTAGGTGTTGTGTTGTTCATGGCGTAACGAGTGGAACGTTACTCCCAAACAAGGAGTTGAAGATCCGACCGCGAATGCCCGCTAGGTTTTTAGGTTTGCTAGAGGCACAGTTCGAGAACTGAGCTATCTTGTGAACTGACTTTTCAGTCACTGATCGGTATCAGTACTTTCAGTTCGAACTGATATG